AAGACTGTCTTGAAATAACTGGTTAAATGTGATAGGGAACATGTAGGCTGACTGCAGGTGAACAATTAATTTGGAAGTCCAGGTGAAGTGTCTTGGAACCATAAATGAAAAAAGATAGGTCCTGGGAAATAGCTTTGAAATAAGCGTTAGCCACTAATGGTATGCATTCTTAAGTCATCTTTATTTGATTTTGAACTAGAATTTTATATAATATGCTCTATTTTGTTAGCAGATAGATAGATGTTCGAGATTCCCACAAACGGGCAAACCTACCTATAAGCATAGGTATTCAGATGTAATCTTTAAGCACTTATCTTAACACTTGTTTCTCTCTCTCTAAGAGGAGCTATCTATAAGCAGCCTATGTGATTGAGGATAGAGCAGCAGCAGGAAGCGAGAAATTAGAAATCGAGGATCCTGAATTCCCAAATAAGGAAGGTTTCTTGTTCTTACATTTAAATGTGGGTTTGTCTGAGCTGAGAGTTTACAATGCTTCAGAATAGTAGGGTGTGTTTTACTGAAATCATTAAGAAGATTTTTTTTTCTATCAAAATTGCCTCCTTAACTGATACAACCTTAGTACAGAGCATTCACAGTAAAACGTATGCTCTGTTTAATACACATTACACTGTAAAGCAGTGAGCAAATTCCATTAATTTTGTAGCTGTATCATAAAGCCAATGATGTTATTAGACTACTTGGTTATGAAACTGAATTAGGTACTTTCACAATTATTGAAATGAAAGTAATTCAAACAAGTGAATCATTGAAGGATATGTTGTATATAAGGAATCAAAATGGTAAATAATTGAAGGATATTTTTATTGTATTTAAGGAAACAAAATTTGAGATACTTTTCTTCAAAATTAAAATAACTTTTAAAAAATAGAGTATTAGTTAAAATTTCTCTGCGTTAGTTTAAAATGTGAACTTTTAAAACCTCACAACTTGGAAATTTAATCACAAATTTTACTCTGAAAACTAAAAACATCTTCCAGACCTTTCTGGATGGATATCTGCTGGATATGAGAGTGAGGCATCCTTGGGAGTTCCTTAAAATTAGGCCAGTCAGGGCCGGGTGTGGTGGCTCATGTTTGTAATCCGAACACTTTGGGAAGCTAAGGTGGGCCAATACCTTTGAGCTCGGGAGTTCAAGAACAGCCTGGGCAACATGGCAAAACCTGATCTCTACAAAAAATACAAAAAATTAGCTGGACATGGTGGTGTGTGCCTGTAGTCCCAACTACATGGGAAACTGAGGTGGGGGCATTGCTTGAGCTTAGGAGGTTGAGGTTGCAGTGAGCCATGATGCTGCGGCACTACAGCCTGGGTGAGAGGGTGAGACCCTGTCTAAAAAAAAATTCTGATGGCTGAGCCTGTGTCACAAAGAAAATTAACTTATGTTTTGATGTTAACTAAATTATCTTTAAGAAATTATATAGACTGTGATGATATCTGGCAGTAGTTTTCCTGTTACTTCTACTTTTTTTGTTGTTGTTTTTCCTTTTGTTTTTGTAATACCAGTGGAACCTTTTCTTAAAATGAAACTTTAGACAAATCCAAGGCAATTATGCTTAAGGGAAAAAAAAGCGGGGGAAATCTTACTCAGAACTCTGTTTTTTGAAACAGATATGGAATGGCTCAGAACAGGCGTGGTGTAAGCCCAGCACTTTGGGAGGCTGAGGTGGGGGGATCATTTGAGCACAGGAGTTCAAGTCGAGCCTGAGCAACGTAGTGAGACCCTGTCTCTGTGAAAAAAGTTAAAAAGGCTAGGCACGGTGTGGGAGGCGAAAGTGGAAGAATTGCTTGAGCCCCAGGAGTTCAAGCCTGCAGTAAGCTGTGATCAGGTGACTGCCCTCCAACGTGGGCAACAGAGTGAAACCCTATCTTAAAAAAAGTAACAGCTTGGATTAAAACTGTCATAATTCAAAATTGTAAAGGAAGGCTGGGCACAGCGACTCGTGCCATTAACCCCTCCAAGGCAGGTTGATCGCTTGAGCCCAGGAGTCCAAGACCACCCTGCGCAACGTGGTAAAACCCCATCTCTACGAAAAATACAAAAATTAGCTGGGTATGGTGGCATGCACTTGTAGTCCCAGCTACTCAGGAGGCTGACATGAGAGGATCATCTGATCTCAGTCTGGGAGGCAAAGGCTACAGTGACCCATGATAGTGCCACTGCACTCCAGCCTGGGTGACAGAGCGAGACCCTGTCTCAAAAAATAAAATAAATGAAAGAAAAAATTGTAAAGGAAAGAATGTAATTTAGCTAATGTCAATAGAGGAAATGTAGTGAAGAAAAAATGAGATTGTATGATTTGAGAGTCTTTGAAAGATTTGATGCATCTGATATAAATTTCTTGAACACGTGACTTTCTTTGGATCTTAGTGTCACAAATCAAAATAGCTAAAATAATAAAGTACTTGGATTTCCATCTACGTCATAAACTTTGCAAATTCCAATAAAAATTCTTAAGAACTCATGTCTCACGTGTATCATATTGTGGTTGTCTTTAGTTAATTAACCAAGTTTTTTTGTTACTAAAATTAGTTGATTACAGGACCTTACATAATATTTAGTATATGCCACACTTCTAGAAATTATTTATTCCCATAAAAACCTTAGAGGTAAGTTGTTTTTTTTTTTCTCATTTCCACAAATAAGATTACTGAGGCACAGAGAGACTGTAACTTGCTCAAGTTTACGCAAAAGACAAGATACGAAAGTAGTACGGTAAATTCACAGCCTATACACCTTAGTTTTTAAAAAAAATTTTTTTCATTTATTACTGTATAGCCTTTTTATTAATGTTTCTCTAAATTTACCTTTAAGAATAAAAATATATTTTGAAGCTTTTGTAAAAATAGAAAGTACTAGAAATATTTCACTTTTTATTTTATTTATCTGTGTTTCAGAGATGGGATCTCACTCTGTTGCCTAGGCTGCAGTACAGTGGTGTGATCATGGCTCACTGCAGCCTCGAACTCCTGTGCTCAAGGGACACTCCTGCCTTGGCCTCTCAAAGTGTTGGGATTACAGGCATGCACCACCATACTCAGCCAGATTTTAACTTTTAAATATTTTTGAAAACCGTAAATGTAGCATTAATATAATATCTAAGAAATTTCATACAGTGTATGCCACCGAGATAAACAACAATAGTTATGATGTTAAGTTCTTTGAATTAGGCAATGCATTATTTAAAAATATATGAACTACTTTGTTGCTGAAGCAAAGCTTCTTAAGGTCAAGTTTTCTGTAGGGAAACTAATAGCCTCCTAAATCCATAGTACTTAAAAGTAGGCTGAACTGGCTTCTTCCAGTCTGAACCAATTTAATATAGTAAGGTCACATTTCCTAATTCGTACGTGGTAAAGCTGTTTTCCCATTGAAGCCCACTTAAAAGAAAAAGAAAATAGTAACTCAGCTCATATTTTGGCGGCTCCCAAAGTGACTTGTGAGCTTTGTGAAAATGTATTAAATGATCAAGGACCATACACAATCTGCTCTACTTTTACTTGTGTAAGCATGTCTTGATAAAACCCAGAAAGGCAAAGATGACTTTTTGGTTTTTTTTTTTGAGACGGAGTCTCGCTCTGTCGCCCAAGCTGGAGTGCAGTGGCCGGATCTCAGCTCACTGCAAGCTCCGCCTCCCAGATTCACGCCATTCGCCTGCCTCAGCCTCCCGAGTAGCTGGGACTACAGGCGCCCGCCACCTCGCCCGGCTAGGTTTCTTTTTGTATTTTTTTAGTAGAGATGGGGTTTCACCGTGTTAGCCAGGCTGGTCTCGATCTCCTGACCTCGTGATCCACCCGTCTCGGCCTCCCAAAGTGCTGGGATTACAGGCTTGAGCCACCGCGCCCGGCCAAAGATGACATTTTTTATATAGGAATAATATATCTAGATTCCATTACTATCTTTGGTCTTTGACACTATTGCTATTAGATTGTTAAAATTCTGTTTTATTTTTGTAACCATAAGTATTAATAATATCACCTTTTGGTACTCTGTTTGCAGTTTTCCCTCCTACCCTAATAGAAAATACACTTCATTTTAAATACTTTAAATAATGTAAACCCATTCTTATACAAATATTTAATAGTTTTATCGAAGAAACTCTTATAGTTGATGCACAGGAATTTTAAAAGGACAGGAAATAAAGCAGGATAATGTTGACTTACAATCATAGAATGATTTAAGGAGCTATTTTCTTAATAAAGAGCACCTACAATTCAATTTGAAAAAGAGTAGCAACTTAATAAAAGCCTAAGCAAAGAACTTGAATAGACAGCTTAAAGAAAAGGAACTTTGAATAGTCCTTAAAAATAGGAAAATATGCTCAACCTTACTCCTATAAAAGGAAATGTAAACTAAAAAACTCATTCATATTATGCTGTTAAGGATAAGGCAGCTCTGAATTACTAATGTGAATCAATCTTAAGTTTATATATTAAAAATATACACATATATGCATATGCAATGGATATCCACAAAAGGTTATGTGACTGAGGCAGGGGTGGAGGAGTACTTCATTTTCTTCATATCTTTTAAATATTTTTATTGCTGGCACAACTGCCTATTTAATGTAACTAGTTTGGGGGGTAAAATATTAAGTCATAGAATATTAAAATTTGTGAGGGACTTTTCGGAGCCGTTTGGAGTGGCCCAAGTTTATCATAACAGCCAGCTTTATATCACAGAACTGCTGCTGTCAGCCCAACTCGTCTTTCACTATATTAGTAATTCTCAACTGGGCTGCATATCTTAATGGGATTTTAATAACAGATTGTCTCGTTCATCATTGTATTCCAATTATCTAGCATACAGGAGGTATTCAGTAAATGTTTGAATGAAACAAATTTAAGGTATAAAATATTTTTTTTCTTTGGAAGATAGAGACGAAAACAATTTTTCTTTATTACGGAAAATTTATAATTGTATTTATAATTTTGATCTAAAGAAACATTTGTAAAGATATAATTTGTTAATCACTTTTCAGACACTGGCTTCATGTCCTATTGACCGTAAACCTTTTCAGGCAGTGTTTAAATTCAGTGCATTGGAAGGTTATGTTAAGGTAAGTCTTTTTATTCTGCAACATGAATTATGTAAAAATTAATTGAAGCTGTTTGACTTTGATTTCCAGTTTGTGTATATTTGAAAATTGTTCAACTTAAGGTTTAATATGTTATTTTAATCCTCCTTAGCATGATACATTTATACCTTTCAACTAGGATACTTAAATTCTGAACCTTTTACTCATTTGCCCCCTAAAGAGGGCATATCCATAATGATCACCTTGTAATATACCACAAAATGTATTAGATCTCTGATAATCTAAAGGACATTTCATACTAAGGCTTAATTATAAAATACTTAACATTTTAGAATATCTTGAATGTGAGGACGTCCCATATTTCAAACAATTTAATTGGATAGCACTTTGAATACATGTTTTCCATTGGAAAAAAGTTTGAAATAAGGCCAACTCCCACAAAACCTTAAGTCCAAAGTACCTGAAAACTGTGTTTTCCTGAAAAACGTAATTTTGAAATTAGCCAGTAAAATTAAATTCTGCTTGCCTCCTTAATGTTACTATTGTGAGCCATGATTATGATGATTTGTATTTAAGTTAATTTTTTGCTTACCTGAAAAAAAGCAAAAAAACATGTCTGAGGTGAGTAAGAGAAGAAAAAAGGAGAAGAGTTAAGTATATGAGAAAGATTTCTTGATGTATCACTACCGAGTCATGAATGAAAAATAGCTAAAAGTGAGAGTATTCAATATAAACGTAAGTGATGCCATTAATAGGAGAAACAAACCGTTTTTAGGTAGCACTGTTAGTCTGTGTCCACTTGGTTACTGTCTATGTAAGTAGAAAAGGAGATGGAAGCAACGTACAACTATTATTTGTCTTAGTGTAGTTCTTATAATTTCTTTTGATATAGTTTTACCAGATGAATCTTGAAGCCAGGTACAAACAGGACTGCAATTCAAATAAAATGGTTTGCTTATTGTAATTGTATAACTTTGCTATCAATGCAAATTAGTTTATATCTCGGAAAAAAGATAAAACATTATAGAAGTGTAATATAGTAAGTGTGGCTTTTCCTGAAGACGTATTCTCCATTTTTCCAAACCCTATGTATGTGTGTGTGTGTATAATTACGTTGCAAAAGATACATTAGTGTGAACTAGATTCCAAATATATTTTTCTACGAAATTATGTTTTCTTGCGTAGAATAAAATTTTGTTTATTTGATAGAGTTTGTATTTTACTTAAAAGTTTGGTACAGTGCTAATTTAATTTTGTTCAACTTAAAAGGTATTTCTTGGCACATGAGATATCTTCCACATTCTCTTAAATGCCTTCCCTAGACCTTTACTTCTTTCAAATCTTCACTTCATTATCTTTTTCCCTTTGCAACTGAACTTCTTGAATGAGACAACTCCCTCCTCTCAATTCTTACTCACTTTTCAGTTCCCATAGAACATTTACCTCTATTATCTTATTTTACAAACACTACCCTCACCAAGGTCCAGACTCAGACTTCCACATTCCATGGTTTGTTTTCTGCGTATAGTGCTGCTGACTACCCTTTACTTCCTCGGCTTGTAAAACATCCTTCTCTTGTGGTTATGTATATGTGTATGTATGTATGAATGATTGTTTTACTTTTCCATCCTTTCACAATCTTCTTTGTCATATCCTTACGCTCCTGTTCCTTTTCTTAATCATTAGAGCTCATAGGATCTTCATTTAAATTCTCAGTATACTTTCTTTCTAAGTCTTCTCAGCTATTATACTTCAGTAGCTTTAAGTACTACCTATATTTGGATGCTTCTACAATTCTGTCACTATCCTAGACTTCTTTACTGAGAGCCAGACCTGTATTTACAGCCACTTGTGCGTCTCCTTCTGGAATACCAAGAAAATCTAACATTAACAAACTCCAAATTAATCACATTCCCTACCCCTTTCCCCAGCCCCAATTGTTAATGGAATCACAACCCCAGTCACCAAGATCAGAAATGTCTGGGACTTTTCCAGTTTTCGCTCCCTCATCTGTTTTTTTCTGCTCAATATCTTCAATATGTTTCTTCTTTATCCCTCCATTGTTCCCTCTTTGTAGACCCCTATTCTGTCATCTAACTAGTGCTGTCCAATAGAAGTATACTATAAACCACTAAATAACTAAACTTTTAAGTAGGCATCCTAAAAAAATAAAAAACAAACAAATGAAATAAATTGAGTGATATATTTTATTTTTTATCTAATGTATTAGCCCAACATGGAATATTTTAAAATTATTGTTATTGAGAGATTTTACATTCTTTTAAAAAATTATACTAAGTCTTTGAAATCTTGTGTCTATTTTATACTTGCAGCACATTCCAATTTAGACGAGCCACATTTCAAGCACTGAGTAGCCATATGTGGCTATTGACTGTTGTCTTGCACAGCATAGATCTAGTCTATCTTAAGAGCTTTCTTTTTGATTTCCTGGTTTTTATAGTCTCTCCTTAATTGGTTGATTCTCCATATCACACCAAAGTTATTTTCCTAAAAACAAATTTGATCATCGCATTTACTTTCTTTAAAAAGTCCACTCTGATGCCTGTAGAATTATTTTCTTATTCAAGAACCTTTACAGTTGAGTCCTAACACATTTCACCAATTTCATATCTAGCTACTCTCTTTTTCCCTGTCTACATTGGCTTCTCACTATTCCTTACAACTCTGTTCTTTCCTCCATCTAGAATATTTTTTTCTTAGACCAATTCCTAACTATCCTTTAAGACGAACTCATAAATCATTTACTCATTAAAGTCTTCTGTGACATCCTCAGTTAACTTCTGAGTCCTATATGTATATACAAATCTGTGTTCATATCTCTGTTATAAGCACTTAATCTGTTTATTCTTAGCTCTCACTATTTTGTTTCCCCAGAGCTAAGCACACTCGCTAAGCTTATGGTTTAGCATGCTTGAATGAATAAGCATATGTATTTGGACTACACTTTTTAATCAGACAATTTTGTTCCTGTAATTTTAATCATTTCAAGGAAGAATTAAAAAGTTATTTCTAATGCTAGATTGTTGCTCTAAATTAAGTTTGCTTTTCTCATAGGTTCAAGTAAAAAAACAGCTGAGAGAAACAAAAAACAGGAAAAATGAAAACTCATTTGAGAAACAGTTCTCCTGTCATGAAAATTCTAAAAGCTGTATAAGGTTAGTGATTAACTTTAGAAGTGGAATGCAAACGAGTGGAACTGAAGTTAACTAGTACCAAAAGGGTATTTAAAAAAAATGAAGTGGGGTTTAAATGTGTTTAATCATTTATTCAAAAGCACACCCTTGATAATTTAAGGAGGGACTAGCTGAAATCTGAGAATCTAATTTCAGCTATACTTGGTTTTTGGTGAAGAACTGGTTCTGGCTGGGCATAGTGGCTCACTCCTGTAATCCCAGTGCTTTGGGAGGCTAAGGTGAGAGGATCACATGAGACCAGGAGTTTGGTACCAGCCTGGGGAACATAGTGAGGACCGTCCTCTCCTCCTCTGTCTCTACTAAAAAATAACACAAAATAAAAATAATTAAAAGAATTTGTTCTTTTAGGTTTATTTCTGAATCTGTTTTAGACCAAACCTTTTGTAAAATAAAATGTTCAGCAATGTCAAATTTCTGAATGCTGACCAGGTGTGGTGGCTCACACCTGTAAGGCCAGCACTTTGGGAGGCTGAAGTGGGAGGATCACTTGAGCTCAGGAGTTCAAGACCAGCCTAGGCAACATAATGAGACCCTGTCTCTACTAAAAATTTACAGATTAGCTGGGCATGGTGACACATGACTGCAGTCCCAGCTACTCAGGAAATTGAGGCAGGGGGATATCTTGAACCCAGGAATCTGAGGCTGCAGTGAGCTATGATCACACCAGTACACTCCAGCCTGAGCAACAGAGCAAGACTGTGTCTCAAAAACAAACCAAAATTCTGAATGCTTACCCTCATTGTTGTACTTAATCACATACCAATATTAAACACCTAATAGATAAGCATTGGTGCTCATACCACACTGTAAATAGCACTGACCAAGTTATTTATGGACAAAAAGTAGGGACTACCTAATGGTATAGCACAACATTCTTCATCAATTATAATTTAAACTGCTTATTAACCTTCACATATTGCTTTCCTGTGTTGCAGCAGGCACTTGCTATCTACTATAACAAGTGTTTATGTTAAAACATTTGTGTATATATATGTTTTTTTTTTTTTCTGGCTGCTATTAAAACCATTGCCTGTTTTGACATAAATGACTAGAAATGCAGTGTTGAGTACTTGAGTTTAATAGGTGTTTAACACATTTTTGAACTAAATTGAATATGAGTAGTACACTGGAAATTAATGCTTAAAATAACTTGTTCTAATACATTTGAAACATAAGCTCATTTTGATCTGAAATGTATTTAGAGCTGTCCAAAAGTTGAATTTTTAAGTCAATATGTTGTCACACTCATAATTAAATATATGATTTATTAGTATTTTTCATCAGAATACTAATTTCTTAAAAGAGTAAGTTTATTTAGTTCCTAAAACAGTTGGCAATAGTCACTGAGGTTTATTGAACCTATGACTAATTTATAACACTGTAGCTCCTTAGATGTTAACTTTTGGGTAGTTATGGTGTTCTTTAAGAATGTGAAGAATGATTCAGATCCCTTCTGCTAGAAGAATACACGTTTACAGACGTAAAATTTTGTATATGATTTCAGGGTATTCACGGAATACCCACTCCAAGAGTTTACCCATGAGCCCTAAAGTTAGTAACTGCATTAGACCAAATTTTATAATTATTTCTGAAAAATACTTATCAGCTTTGGTTCTTGTATTAGTACACTTTTCCCAGGCCTAGTGAAGAAATGCCTTTTGGTAGAAATACTTTAATTCTTGGTACAACTCATATCACTGGCTGTGACAATATCATAGATGTGCATTTTTTTTGTTTGCTCCCTCAAAATTACCCAGTTCTCTTGGCTCTTACCAAGAGTGTAGTGGTCATCACAAAATGACCTATAAGGCTCACAGTTCTTATTTTAGTCTAACATAGCAAAAGTCGTCCCCATATTTAACTGCTTTTTCTCAGAGATTCGTCGTAAGGAAATAACAGCTGCAACATTAATAATTTGCCTTTGCCCACCAAGGCTTAGCTTAACAATTTTTCCCAAGGTGGAAAATCTCTGTCAGCTGTTGGATATTTACATTATACTCTTTTGGAGTCTTGGATGTTTTTAGTAGTCCTGTCATTCAGTCTTCTGTTTACTGGATGCTTGGTCTTCCAACATGCAGACAAACTCCATTCAATTTTCCTCTCCCTTCCAAAGCAATAAAACCCTGGGACCTCTCTCTTTCTGATACTTTTTACCAGTTCCAAAGAAGGCACTACAGTGGTGTTTTGTTTCTTGGTAGTGAACCTCCATTTTAAGTCATTGTAGAGAATGGTAACTAAGTGAGGAGTGGAACTAATTATGCTTTCTTTGCTAAAATTTCCTAATGGTCTTTTTAAAAAATGTAATATCTGCTTACCTCTACTCTGCATGGCTCAGTAGCCAGTCAGTCATGATCAGCCAATAAGATTATTGTTTAAAGACTGAGATGAGGCTAGACGTAGTGGCTTATGCCTGTAATCCCAGCACTTTGGGAGGCTGAGGCGGGAGAATCGCTTGAAATGAGGGATTTGAGACCAGCCTGGGCAACGTAGTGAGACCTCATGTCTAGTTTAAAAAAAAAAAAAAAAAAAAGAATAAAAAATATACTAGCAAGGCATGGTAGCTTACACCTGTAAGCCCAGCACTTAGGGAGGCCAAGGCGGGAGGATCACTTGAGCCCAGGAGTTCAAGAATAGCCTCAGGAACAAAGGGAAATTCTCTGCAAAAATAGAAAAAATTAACTTGACAAGGTGGTGCATGCCTGTAGTCCCAGCTACTCAGGAGGCTGAGCTGGGAGGATTGCTTCCGCCCAGGAGGTCAAGAGTGCAGTGAGCCGTGATTGCACCACACCAGTCCAGCCTGGGTGTCAGCAAAATCTGGTCTCCAAAAAAAAAAAGACTGAGATAATACAACTCAACAGTTATTGAAACCTAACTTGACATTCTAATATCTCATGGGAGTCTGTGAGAATATCCTTAAACCATTTACCAGATTTCAGCATAATTACTAAAATCAGTGCATAATAGATTTCGTTTTGATGGAGGAGAATGAGTTGAAAATAAATGGGCAAAATGACAGTTTTTTTTCTTAATTCTTTCCTGTCTTTATTAATGTTTACAGAAGAAAAGCCATCATAAGAGAAGATCTATTAAGTGCAAAAGTTTGTGATTTGAAGTTGATACATAGTAAGTGACTTTTTGCCTGTGTATTCTACCTTTTTTGTTGTTTTTTTAATTTAATGGTTGTGCCAGAGTTCTCATCAGTAACACCTTGGGCTGGAAAATAGTCCTCAGGTCTGTACATTGTGTTAAATCCTACATAAATTTTGTTTTCATGGAGCCATTTATACTGTTTTCTGCCCTTTTTTTCTTCTTGCTCCTCTTAAAAGGTAGGGGTGTGTGTGTGTGTGTGTGTGTGTGTGTGTGTGTGTTGGGAGAAAAGAGTGTTTCACAATTTTTTGGTGTTGACCAGCTCATATTGTGGCCTTATTCCACCCATTAGTGCAGAAGTCCGTAGGGGAGATGAGATTAAATACCTTGTGGGCCAGTAACTGTAAGCAGTAGCAAAGGAAGACTGTGACAGCAAGAAAGTAATTCACAGTTCCCGAAGGAAATTGTAGTTTGGCCTCTAGCCTTACTTCTAATTTGAAACTTAAAAATAAAGCATCTCTAACATGTTTATCTACAAGAGCAGTTAAATATTCCTGTCTTCTGTTTTTGTCTGGTACATGATTTTCTAATATACAGGAAGGCTTTGCACCAGAGCCTGCATAAAAATGACAACATTCATAGTTCTTTGTGACTCCTCCTTGGGGATTCAGGCTGTTTATTCTGTCCCAGAGAACATCTAACTATGGTCTGTTTGTAAGCAAGGAGGTGGGCATTTATTTTCCAGACTAAGTCACAGTGAATTTCCGCTTACAGCTAGAACTAGTGAATTAGTGAGCTGTGAAATAATTAATTGTTTTAAAAAGTGAATAACTTCATTTTTTATGCATTATGAATACCAAGTTTTGTTGGTTTTTTGTTGGTTTTGTTTTTGATTAGAATTAATATGATCCCTCAGGTTAGATTTATAGATTAACAAACGTTCTACCTTTGAAATTTTACTATTAAAGTGAAATTGAAACGAAAGTTGTTTTGATCTCTGGACTTTTGTGGTTGAAAAGGCATTTTTCTTTTGTCAGCTTTAGATATGAAAACAGTCTTTGCTTTTCTATGTCATTATTGTAGATTAGCATTCTTTTTTTATGAATAGCATTCGCTTGCCAGTTCTAAGACCCAATATAAAATTTGCTGCTGAGGAAGATTAAATGATGTTACAGATTTTCTCTAGATAATTTGGCCCACTAAATTATGCTAGTCTTAGTTTTAAGACCACTGCCCACTGTAATTTTCTTAAAGTGTGTATCTCTTGCCTGGGCTCATTTTTAGAAGGTGAAATATAGGAAAATCTTAAATTCCATATGCTTCAACATAGTAAAGGTCATTTATAAGCATCTATGATTAATTCTGATTTGAGATTTTGTTTTACTGTTTAGAATGTGGAATATTAGATTGGATAGCTATTTTAAAATGATAATGAGGAAAAAAACCATTTCTGCCAGAAGGTTAACATTGTCTAAGGCCTGTAACTCAATGCTGTATCTACTTAAGATGCCTGTAGTCATTTGTTTGGTTTAGGATAGGCAGAAATACTGATTATAGTTTGAGTGGATAATACAAGAGTGCTGATGCTGAGGTAATTATGAGCAAATGTCTTCACTGACCAACCTGGACTGATTTGAAGGGAACTGGGTATAGTAGTTACCCCTTGTCCATGGGTGGTATGTTCCTAACTCTGTGTAGTACCTAACTCTGTGTATATTATGTTTTTTCCTATATGTACATTCCCATGATAAAGTTTTATTTATAAATTAGATGGTGGAAAGATTAACAATAATGAATAATAACATAGAACAATTATAACAATATACTGTAATAAAAGGTGAATGTGGGCTCTCTCTCAAAATATCTTACTGTACTTACTCTTCTTGTGATGAAGGTAGAGTGACACAAGATTTCATCATGTTATTCAGGATGGTGTACAATTTAAAACTTAGAAATTGTTTATATCTGGAATTTTCCATTTAATATTTTTGGGCTGCAGTTGACCACAGGTAACTGAAACTGCAGAAAGAGAAACCGTGAATAAGGGGGGACCACTGTACTCATTGATTATCCAATTAGTTATTAATACTTTTGCTATGATGTTACTTTTTACTGGGGAAATTTGATAAGTCTAACATGGTCAGTTTTTCTTCCTGTATTGAAATAGATTATTTATTGGATGAAGTAGCTTATATTTAGGTATTACATTTGATGAAAATTGTTCAGGTTTAAATTCTAGATTCATATTCAGTACATACTCAGTATTGGATGTTCATACTCGGAGAAGCAAAAGGGAATTGAGATCACTCATACATTCAACAAATACCTAACTGTACTGAGCACAGTGACTCTTAGGGGTATAGTAGTGAACAAAAACAACAGAGTGCTTGCCAATGAGATCTCATAGACAAACAAAAATATAAATATATATAAAACAGGTGGTAATAAATGCTTTAAAGAGAATAAAGCTGGGTAAAAGGTTAAAGGGTGATGACATTGTGGAGATGACCGTTTATTTAAAGTGTTAGGGAAACCCTCTTGAATAAAGATATATTTGAGCAGTGACCTTCAAGAAGTAAGAATTTAAGCCATGAAGATATCTCAGGGAAGATTGTTCGGGGCAAGGGAACAGCAAGTGTAAAAGCCTGAGACAGGAATATTCTTGGAATGTCTCCAAAGAATAGCAAGGAGGTTATTGTGGCTAGAATGACTGAATTAGGTCAATGGAGGAGAAACAATAAAACATAAGGGGAGACCATTTAGGGCCAGTGTGAGCTAGGGAGTGTTTTCAGGAGTAATATGATCTGGTACATTTTTAAAGGATTACTCTGGCTGTGAAGGCCACAAATTATAGTGGCTTGGGCCAGGAAGATATTAGTGGATGAGAAGTGGTTCAATTCTGTATGTACCATTGATCTTTGAACAACACAAGAGTTAGGTCAAAAATCAGTGTATAACTTTTGACTCCCTCAGAACTTGACTAATAGCCTACTGTTGACTGGAAACCTTACAGATAAAACATAAACTGTTGATAAACACATTTTATATGTTACGTGTATTATATACAGTATTCTTAAAGTAAGCTAGTGAAAGAATGTTTTTAAGAAATCATAAGGAGGAGAAAATATATTTACTGTTCACTGAGCGGAAGTGGATCATCATAAAGGTCTATATCCTTGTTGTCTTCACATTGAGTGGGCTAAGGAAGAGAAGGGGTTGATCTTGCTGTCTTGGATGGCAATGGCAGAAAAGGTGGAAGGGGAGGCAGAAGAGGCAAGCACACTCAGTGTAACTTTTACTGAAAAACATTCATGAATAAGCAGACCCTTGGAGTTCAAACACATGTTGTTCGAGGGTCAACTACATCGTACTTGAAAGATGAAGCTAACAGGATTCATTGATGGATTGGATATAGGCTACAAGAAAGAAGGAAGTCAGGGTTGACTTACAAGGTCTTGACCTAAGGAACTGGTAAAATAGGAGTTGCCAGCTACTGAGATGGGGAAGGCTGGTGGGAGAACGTCTGGGAGGGTATAATGAAGAATTATCTTTTGGAAGTAGAATGGTGGTGATTTATAGGGAGATGTTTGTCAAGGGATTCAGAGGTTCAGTTATGCAAGATGAATAAATTCTGGATATTTAATGTATAGATGTACAGCAATGTGGATATAATTAACAGTGGTGTATTGTACACTTGAAATTCGCCGACCCAGTAGATCTTGTGTTCTCACTACAAGAAAAAGGGAGAATGGTAACTGTGAGGGGATGCATATGTTTAGTTTTTGTGATTATTTTCACAATGTGTACATACATCAGAACATTAAGTAGTATACCTTAAATATATACAATTTTTGTCAATTGTACCTCAGTAAAGATGAGGGGCAAATTCGTTTTTTGATAAGTAAGGTGTCTACGACCATAGAGATGCTCTGAAGAAATTGGATGTTTACATTTCATGTACAAATAAGATCTATTCATCTTCATGTTATTTTAATGAACAGTTTTTGTTGATATATATGTTTATTTATGCTTGACTCCTCAGTTAAATTGATGGTTTCTTCCAGTTGTCATTTCTTTTCTCACTCTTGAGTTCAGGCAGAATGTTTAAGATTATGATGATCAGAAATAAGACTGAGGCAAGATGGTGAAACTCACCTCTACAAAAAATACAAAAATTAGCCAAGTGTGGTGATACACACCTGTAGTCCCAGCTACTTGGGAGGCTGAGGTGGGAGGACCACCTGAGCCTGGGAAAGTTGAGGCTTCAGGTGAGTCATGATTATGCCACCGCACTCCGGTGTGGGTGCCAGAGTAAGACCCTTTCTCAAAAAAATAAATAAATAAAAGGAAATGAGACTGAAAAGGAAGATTGCTATGCAGGTAGACACAAAAGTTTTTTTCATTGAGATACAATGCGGTGAAACTGTTGTAGAAAAACTAACCTGGTTAAAGTATTCCAAGAGGATGGGAAGCCAAGTATCTGTTAGAAAGTTTCTAAAGATGTCAAAAGAAGAGGTTAATAAACTAACTCTGTCTTCTGAGATTGCGTATTAACAGCATTTTGTAAAGTCTTTTTTAAAAGGCTAAATGTCTTGTGCAAGATCACATTGCTAATAATTGGAGCCACCAGAATTTGATCCAGTCTTCTGACTCCATATCCAATGCCACTTTCTACTACAAAATAATACTAAAGCATGATATTGTTAGTGTTACCGACCTTAATTAAGCCTCTCACTTTATGGTTGTCTGCAACCTTTGTAACTTAAATTATTGGCATTCTGATGGATCTTGTTTGGATGTACTTTCAAGCTCAAAAATAATTTTTAATGTAAAATTAGCTCTCTTTGATTTTGATAACAGAATGTCTGCTCGCCACTTATCAGTTAACTGTAATTTTTTGTTCCTTCAGGCTAAAGGTCATAAATCATAGCTGTAAGATTAGAACCTTTAAGAGTTTTCGCCTTTAATTTGGACATTTTTTTTGTTTTAAATTTTTCTTTTAATTTTCACATTTCTTATAAGGTTTCTTAGACAGT